GTGTGTTTGAGCAGAGAAAAAAATAAAACATGCAGGGCTGCGGCCCTCCAGGACCAGGATTGCCCACCCCTGGGTTAAAGTCTTCTACCTGTCGAAACTTGGCTCTGGCTTCCACCTCCTTCATCCTTCCATGAGACACGAGGTAGTCAAACACTTCCCCTGTCAGGGAGCAGATCAGACTTTAAATATTTACATTAAATACAGCTCATCTAAAGGTTTGACTTTGATTATGATAATATTGTAATTAACATTTATTAAAGTCCAACTCTTATCAGTTTTATTATCCTCCGGAGGACATGATGAGAACAGAAAGCCCAAAGCTTTGAAGAAGTGCTTCAACATAATGGAACAGTGTTTTACTGCCAACACTATAGAGAGAAGATCAATATGTTTTCATATCTGCTCAGCTGTGACAGACCTGTTTATTTACATCAAGACTAGAGAAGACTTCCTGGCAGAAGGTGACACATTTTGTACACATTGTGTAACTGGAAGGAAAATAACTAAGTTTAATAAGCTAAACAATAGAGGTACATGAGAAAATGTGTTCATTACGAATGAAAATAAATAATTAATTAGTGTCCATGCTGGTCTCAAATCCTGGTCTCCCACTCNATATATATATTTGCACATAATTTACATTTTACGATTTAAATAAATATAGCACATCATTTACATTTTGCGTTATTTTTGCAAAAATATTTTATTTGTTGGAACTAAGTTGGAAAATAAATGTGAAGGTCAATTAAATTATAAAATGTGAGGTAAAGCTCTCCTTTTTTATTTAAATGGTATATTTTTAATTGTATTTATTTATTTATTTAGCTGTCTGTCTGTATATGTGTATATGTATATATATTTGTACATATACTTTAAATAAAATTCTCATTTTTGAATTATATTGGTGCACTTTAAGTATTTATTTATTTATTTATTAGTCAATTTATATATTTCCGCTTTTATTTTTTAATTGTCAGTTTTGGTCCTCCGTACAGCAGAAGCCTGATAATGACCCATTCATTCAAACCAGGTGTGTTTGAGCAGAGAAAAATACCAATGTTTTCAGCAAAGGTCTTGCAAAATGAGTAGTACATGSAGTGTGAAAGCCTCAGCTATAACCACAACAATCTTTAGACAARATCTGTAAAACTGAGGTACAAACAGTTTTTTTTAAGAACAGTTGTCTGTGGAACTTTTCAATGTTTCAGTACAAAAGTTAACCAGTTGTAGAGATGCATCCAATAGTTACTTTCTACATTATTCAATAAAAAAGGTACTTGAATATTGCATCTCCACTGACAGTTCAGTCTCTGAAGCTTGGACAAAACGACTTTATGGCAGACAGGACTGTGCTTATACTGTAAACCCAAATTAYTAATTATTACTAAAGCCGTTTATGGTAAGTGATTACACTGATGTCTAGTTTTTACAAAATCTAAAACTAAACAAATCAAGCTCTGTTTACATAACGTCTTGTCCATTCTTTAATAACTTTAGATTTTTTAACTAATGTTTACGAGTAATTGACTCAACATTACTCTTGTTTATTAATAACCGTTGCTCAAGTTTATCAGTAATTGCTACTCCCATTTAACATTATTCTTTTCTCGTGTTAATAGAAAATATTGAATACAGTGATGTGACGTTCACGAATGATCTGAATCTTTTGAACGGCTCTTTACAACGAAGGATAGGAGCTGAGTAGCGGGTAGTAACGAGCCATTTGTAGTTTTATTTTATTCCTTCTATAACATTTATTTTATCATCCTTAAATTGCTCCCGCTTTGCTTTTTCTCAAAAAATAGGCAGAGCGGTGGAGGACAGAAGCTCACAGGAAAGAGGGAGGGGGGTTTCTGCTTGAAAAAACACATGGTTCCATTCACGTGACGGGATGATGT